CTGCAAATGCCTGTCATGTTCATTCAGATTTCTGAGTAATGGAGAAGAAAGAAAGGTAGCAACTTGGCCTTAGAGTGAGTGAATGAAAGGACGGTTAATGCTACCACATAGAGATTTTCATGCTACCAACGTTATACATAGGACTACTGAAAGCAATCCTAGAAACCCTGGAAGGCAGCGAGAGGACTTGAAGAGTCATGGGAAGGGTGTAAGTAACAGGCATTTTAATTACACAAAATATGCGGTGGTTGTACAAAATGAAATGTGCGAGTGGAGGGCGCCTCTCCCACGTCCGACCGGTCAGTTCAGGTCCAGGGGTCGAAGAAGATCGAATTCTTGGGCTTGCTCTCCTGTTGTCATCTCTGAGTGTCTTCCTCCTATTGCCGGCGTCGTCGGGTGGGCGGCGTCCAAAAGCAATTCCTTGCCTTCTGTAGGCCTAAACTTGTATCATTCTGGCGTCTGTGGGTTATTTAAACATTCCCTGCTTACACATTATTCAGCGCTTCCAATAAATGAGTGCTAATCCCAGTGTGCTCAGTGTTCAACATCACATTGTCATTTCACTTGCGGTTCAAGGTTTTTGAAATCGTATTGATTCCGCCAGATGCTAAATGCTAACCGGAAGTGACAAATTTTCAGAATAAAAGTGTTAAACTAATAGTGAGAACTTCCGGTGTTTTCAGAATAAAACTGATTTTAAATCAATTAGTGTATTTAATTCAAATTTACGCCATATCAAACATTGAATTTTTTAATTTCTAAACACTACCCCTTATAAAAGGCTTTTACGAATAGTTTGTAATTCATTTATTAATTAGGTTGTGAACACTTTATAAATCATTAAGAAGCTTTTATAAGACATGAAGATAAACAGGTGACTGTGACCGGTTGCTTGCCAAATAGTGAGCCCACATTTATCTGTACTGCTTAGCCTTATTAGAAATGGTAGTAACTCGTTAATAAATGGGAATTGTGTTTTCACACTTACAATAAAGGCTCCTTTTGGCAGTTGTAAATGTTAGTAACTCATAAATAAATGGTCATAAAGATGATGCCAAGAAAACGTCAAGAGGGAAGGGGGGGAATCAACTCAGTGAGCAACAGAATACCAAGGGATGCTGGCTGATGAAGAAAGACGAAGTAGAGCTAAGTACAACCAATATAAGACTTAGCAGTACAGATAAATGTGGGCTCACTATTGTGGCAAGAATGACTAAGCCTTAAATTGGCACACCAAACTCTAACTTACTTCGTCCTTCTTCATCAGCCAGCATCCTTGGTATCTGTTGCTCACTGAGTGTGATTCTCGCTAAGTAGCCAGTATAAGCTTCTAGTTCATCTTGCCAAATAGTGAGCCTGTGTCGATGTATGAAAATGTATGTTAGAACTGGTTTATAAATGGTTCTTAATGATTAATAAAGTGTTTACAACCTAATTAATAACCTAATTATACACCCTTTATGAATCCCTTATAAGGGTAGTCTTATTGTTAAGTGGTACCGAGATTTCACTGGTTATGAATACTAATTTAATACCAATATGTCTACATTGCCATGACATAAGCAAACTATACAATCAGGGAAAATATTGGCTTTTTCAATATAGTTATTATTGAATGAGACAAACACCTTTTAATGGCATGCAGTTTGGAAGTGCTGACATTTCTCAAGGCAAGATTCACAATGAGGTTGGTACAAAGTTAACTGAAAACTCAGCAGTTAAAAAGAGCTTAACATTGATGCATCAGTAAAAATATTTTTTTCTGTGGAATGAACACTTTTTACCTAACTGTAAAGTGATACAACGTTAAGTACATTGTGTATAAATTTGCTCTATCTTCTTGACAAGCCAGTATAAAGGTGCAGGGGATTTAAAGCAACCTGCACAGTGATGTTCTCCTGGTGTTTCACAGCAGACTTAGATGTGAGAGTAAAAAAAACAAAACAATGTCAGTTGGTGGTCTTGCAAAAAGGGTCTTTTACCCTTTTTGGACTCAGTTGGGCCTCTCTAACGGCTTCGAACACTCCATGAAGACACTCATCATGTGTGAGCAGGTCCCAGTCTTGAACCCAAATATTAAAGTGAAAAAGGTGTTGTTAATTTAGCCAGGGCTGTAAAATGAAAGGCTTTCAAAAGGACTGGGGGCTGCAACAAAAAGGAGAAAAGTGAAAACATCTGTGTCTCGAAATGCTTGCATGTGTGATGAAGGTGATCGGATCTCTGAAAGCTGGGTGAAAAGTAGATAAAGACCCAGTGGTTGGAAGGGGACCCTTTAATGTTTTATTTTATCAGTGAGGTAATGCCAGTGATTTAAAAGAATAGCTTGACATTTTTTTAAATAATGTTTTCCTTGCTTGCTGAGTTAGATAAGAACATCAACATCACTCCTAAATACTTCATTCAACATCAGGCTGTTGCCAGCAGCCGATTAGCTTAACATAGCATTAGCAGCTAGCCTTGCTCTTTCCAAATGTAAACAATACAGGAAGTCAGAAAAACTATTTTTGTACAGATTAAGTTTACTTGTCACCACCACACACACTTCCAAGTCCCTCATGGGCTTTAGAGGTGCTGGAAGGCAGATTTTATTTACTTTAAACAGAGCTAATCACTTGTTTCTGCTCTTTAAGCTAAACTAAGCCAAGCTAACCTCAACACCAACATCTAACATCCATTTACATTCTCAAAGATGAACACAAATACTAAACATGACTGATGTCATTGGTCCCAATGGTTATGTGAGCCACAGTCAAAGCAAGCCAAGGCGCAGCAGATGGAGAACTCTAAGCGCCAACTTCCCATGGGAATCCAAACAGATGGACACATGAAGCGTAGCACCTGCTTTTGGCACCACACATCGACAATCGCAGCATGATTAAGAGTGGAAGAAATCACAGGGGATTTAGCTGTTCACATTATTATTACCCAATGGAAGTTGAGTTTTATCAATTTTTGGAATCAAAGGTGACTACCAGCTGCAGGGTATCCACAAGTTCATGCATCTCATTAAGTATTGTACATTCAAGATTTTAGATTTTCAAGCTATCAGATACATTTCTTTTAAAATGATCCTTGTAACAATTATTTTAACAATATTAAATCAATCGCTTAAGACTGTAATTAAATATATATATTTGTACATATAATTTATGCAGCTACCGGTAACACACTTAAAATGTGTGTTAAAGGTGCACTTATGCTCCTATTGGATGGATTTTGCACATGAGTTTGGATCTGATAAGGTTGTAATCATGAGCAATCAGCATGTATTATTAATAATCTTCAGGTGCTGACATTTTTCTGTGTTGCTGTTTTTTGCACATAGAATTTGTACACAGAAAATAATTTTGTAAGGGCTATCCAATCCAACCAGGGGCGGACTGGCCATTGGGAATACCGGGAGTTTCCCCGGTGGGCCGGTGCTGTGTGTGGGACGGAGGGCCAAAAAAAAATAAATAAACTTCTTTTTTTTTGCCTAAATCCTACCGGCCCACATTTGTAAGTGTTGCGGCCACTCCCTTTTTATTTTTTTTGCTTTCCTAAATCCTACCGGCCCACATTTAGTGTAAAGGGAGACACACGAACACACGAGACGTAACACACTGGTAAATTCTTCTCTCAGAAGTAGGGAGGGTTAAGAAGAAGAAAGTTGTGGGGTGTATTTTGTCTTTGACATTTGTCTACAATGAAAAAAGAAAGAGTTGAAAATAAAACTTCGTCGTTTCACCTCCGTTTTCACTGACGGTGGGTTTTGTTATTTGGACGATTCGATTGGATCGGATTTGAGTCATTGTCTTACATCCGTTGTGCAAGAAGAGGTTGTCGACGCGCTGGAGACTCAGTCTTGCAGTGAAGGGGGGAAAAGATAGGATTGCCCATGTTGGCGTGTCCGGCGAGGGGGGACTTGGGGCAAAGGGACGTTTGGGGGAGGAGATACGTTCGGGGAGGGAGACTTGGGTCCCGAGCGATGTTATGACATATATGGTTTGATATTGTTTTCGCGGAAAATGCGAAACCTAAAAACGAATAGGTAGACCATTCGTTGACGGTCGATCCAGAGAGTCAGTGGTGAGGACTAGCAAGTGACGCGTCACTGTCGACGATGCCCCGGACTACACACTTTAACTTTGACTATCTACTCTTGTTTTCCCATCGGATAGTTTTTCCCGGGTCGGGTCGGGTGACCCGTGTGTGGGTGACCGCGCCCGGCCTTGTGAATGATT